GATAGATACAGTGGGTGACCAGCATGGTAAGGATTCCTTTATTTCTTATACTTAATCTGTTAGTTTTTCTCTAATAAAAGGTACTTTTGCCTTACACATTATAAAAACTGAATTGGAAGAAAAAATAAAGATGTAGCATGTAACATGAAAAAATGTGTCACTAACAGAACCATTAATCTGTTTCATCTGTTCAGTAGATGTACAATCAAATAACAACAGTAAAAATGTAAACAAATCAATATGTTTATTTGTTCTGTCAATTATATAGCTGTATGATGCATTTCCAGCTCTGTTGACCACACCAGTTTATTATTTCTTAATACAATTAGTTGACAGAAAAGAGGTTTTTAGAAAAGAGAGAAACGCCAACAAGAGAGAGATCCATTAGCCCCAAGGAACTACATTTACTGCTGCCTTAACAAGATAAATAAGGTTGGCACATGCAATGCACAATGTTGCCAATTAAGCTTATTAATTTGAAACAATTGCGCAAACACCATAACAGGGCATTTCTTCCAGTTTTCATTCCAACTCAGCACTTAGTTGTTTATTTCCTTATTTCATCAAGATTAATGTACTATTTCATCAGTAACTGGTAATATCTATAAATCTGTAAGGACTGGGACTGTTCAGGCCCAGGGTCTAATCCTTTAATAAGTTTGACCAATTTAACTCGCTTCCAGAATGTAAGCAGACAATGATTTACAGAAGGCAAGATAATATGTCTAGTATCAGTATCCTGTGCCTTGAAGCTTAGTTATTTGCCTTTTTCTCTTGAAGTGTAACAATGTCTATTTTGTAGGCAATTATTATTTTGACAAGATTTTGGCAATGGTAAGTGTGTCTTTTCTCTTAACTTTCCTTGTGTGTAGTTGGTAAATACAAAGAAATGGTACATATTGCTCTCATCAATTTAACATTGCTAATGCCTGTATTACAACAAATTGCATATATACCTTACTGCAGGTTGGTGCACATTTGTGTCTGAGTGAATTCAGCAACTTCACACTGTTTCTTCCTGTTAGGTGGTGAGCTTTCTATATTCAGTAGAGCCTGATGTATTTAGGTCTCCCAGATGACCATGCAGATCACTTTTAATCTATTAAACTTAATCATTAAGTTTGATCATTTATTTTATTTGGCATCACAGAATCTGAGATCATTCAGGTTAATAATGTATCTATGGAATAGGGGAACTTTAATGCAATTACTTATATAATCCAACTTATTTTTTTACTCTTTTTTGTACAGCAACCACAAAGAAAATTCAGAGGTGCCACAAAGAAAATTCAGGAGATGCCTGCCCAGCAAAATTGGAGAAAGAGGCAGAAATGGTCTTTTTGGAATGGAATTTCATAAACTGTATGTCTATTTTTCAAAATTAATTTTAAAATTCAAAGTACATCATCAGGGAAGGGGTATTTTCTTCCAAAGCTGACATCGAAAAAATGTTTTTAAGGCAACACAAATAAACATTTTCACTTTTTATTTGTCCTTTTGGGAACAGTCCTAAGTGTTGTTTTATCATTGTAAGTGATTTTTGTCATAAGCAAGTTTCAGAGGTTGCAGCCCTGTCCTCAATGTATTTAATCTCTGACACTTTATGTACTCTGATGGAAAGTTTCAGAAAAAAACAAACTTTTCTTCCAATTTTAGCTGGCGATTTAATCTTCTCAGTCATGCATTGCCACCTGCTTTTTGGATTGTAATGAGTTTTTACAATTCAGTAACTGTATTTGAAAGTAAGAAACCTGGGTTAAAGGAATTGGCTAAATTAAATAATAACTGACAAAATTAAATAAGAAACATTTTGTGACCAATTGTGTAGTAATAGCCAACAAATAATTTATTAAAGAACATTATTTTTACTACTTGTAGCACTCTCCACTCATTAATTTAAATCTATGTCTTTAAAATAAGGCCAAGAATGTAATCTTTCTATCTCAAATAACTCACATTTGCTTTTTACTATCATCTCAATGCTAGCCAGGCCCTAATTTGTTTCACATTTAGTTTAAGTTTAAAAGACATGAGACTGTAACACCAAACCATTCTCTAAATTTGCACAAAGCTTTAACTTTATAAACAATTTCACTGTTAAACCATATTTCGAATGTTCTATCGTATTTGCTGTG